AAGCTGAGAGAGGGAAACAGCAACACGAGTGATAAGCAAGGCAGACTTCGCCTGTGAGTCGGGCTAAACATGGCTGAGCGGGACAGAAACAAGCAGGGAGCAGAAGGAGAGTGGGAGGTAAAGAGCGGCGTCTCTAGTTGGATCAGCAAGTTGAAAAATACAATTATTTCGATCACCTGCCTGGCTTCTTTTATGTATAGCAGCCCATTTTCTTTCTGTTTTTTTTTCCCCCCATTTTCTTTTCAAACCCAATGCAGAAGCAAGCTAATTTGCATAATGACCCTCGGGGGAAGAGTCTAGGTGACTGTGGTCTGTTTCTGACAGCCAGAGGTAAGGCAGAAATCTGGCTGGCTTCCTCAAGTCCTAGGTGCCCAGGGCTAACCGCAGCTCATCCCACGCCATCTCGGCTTAGCAGCATCAACATAAAAGGACTGTGGATTATATTTTAGACCGGGGGATTTACCCAGCCTGTACAGATTGTATACAGTATGGAAATCTCCCCACCCTCACATCCTGCCTAGCTCACAGCACCCCTCCCAGGAGGCATGCTCATTGAAAAGGCTATTTATAGCTGTCTGCTTGCCTTGCTTTTCAAAATAATAGATGGGGGAGCGACAGTGACTTGGAACCTCTTCCCATGACAACTATGTAGACTTCAAGCACCTGTAATTTTGCGTGTCTGCGTATACGCAGTACATCCTATAGTGCTTCGCGTTTTCACTCTTCACATCGCTTCAGTCTTAGACCAATTTAAAATGGACAGAAAACTATCCTCAGAATTGTTGGGCAGTCTTTCTTCTTACGAAACAGTTACTGTCGCTTTTAAACATTGTGATAAATGTCATTGGTTCCACCATTCCTTCACCTTACTCACTATTCCTGTCATGTATTTCATTGCCTTCCTGTTTTGTTCTGTTTCTTCATTGTGTCCTCCTGTGGGATTGTAAGCTTTCTGGATTTAGGGTCATGGCTTATCCATGCTACACTATATTCTTGTTAGGAAAAAATTACCCCAAACCAATAAATTAAAAAATCACCAAGCAGGCAACCTCTGCTTTCAATGTCATATTAAAGCTGGTTTAACACACCTTCCCAAGGATTATTTAATTATTTAAGAGAAGAAAGCAAGACAGTGAGGTTGGATCAATGAGTCAAGACTGAAGTGTTGCTATCTATTATTTTTTAACAGCTTTATTGAGGTGCATTTCACATGCCACGAAATTTATCCACTAGAAGTGTACAGCGCAGTGGTTTTTAGTATGTTCAGAGCTGTGTGCCTATTACAATGTGAATTTAGAACATTCTCAGCACCCCAAGAAAGCTAATATTGATTAAAGTCCCAGACTCTGCCATGTTCTGTCATCACTTACAGGTTTTTGTTTAGTAGAAAAGAGAACCCCAGAGGTTATGCTTTCATTGTCCTGGAGACATTTAACCAGGTTTTTAAATCTAGTCTGGCAATGTTAGTCCCACATCTTTTCTGCAATGCCAGTGCACATTCCTAATTCCCTTTGAACCAGCTTTACCATCCTGCTGGGCGCTCGTTGGTGAGTCAATTAAACCTTTGGCATGTTTTCATTCTGTAACTTGTTGGAGGATCATGTTTACGAAACTTAGTATGAAACTTAGTATGTTAGTGTCCCAGGTTCGATTCCCAGCCAGGGAACATTCCTGGGTTGCAGGCCATAACCCCCAGCAACCGCACATTGATGTCTCTCTCTCTCTCTCTCTCTCTCTCTCTCCCCTTCCCTCCCTAAAAATAAATAAATAAATAAAATCTAAAAAAAAACAAAAAAAACCTTGTATGTTGATAACCTGAATACTCTCAGTTCAGCGACAGGCACAGAGTGGGCCACCAATAAATATGTCTCGATGGCCTGATGTCAATTTTTTTTTGATAAGGGATGTGTCAGAGTTTTAAACTTTGGGAGAAAGAAGTACATTTTTGAAAAGTCTTGAAGAAAAAAATCAGAAAGTCAATTTTGAATAACAGTTTGTATTTTTGGCTCTCAAATTCTAAAGGTTGGTGTCAGAGAGAGTTAAATTTGAATGAAGCTATTTATTTTCTATCTCCAGGCTTAAGTCAAAGAATACTGTAAGAATATAATTTTACTGGCATACCATTTTTATAAACCTATAAACTAGAAGTATTATTTATTTTGTATAAGTAGGATATGTAAGGGAAGAAAACCTGACACGCACAGAAGAGAATGCCCTGGGAAGCTACCTCTCCACTGCGCCATTGCCCTCCACCGAAAGCCGCCCCAAGGTCCCTCCTATTGCCGGTTTCTCTGCATCCTTTCTCTCTCTCTCCCTCCCTCTCTCTCTCTCTCTCTCTCTCTCTCTCACACACACACACACACACACACAACTCTTTGTTAAAAGATGTATGGCATACCATATATGCTATTCTCAAGTTGCTTTTTTTTACTTACTAATACTTATTGGAAGTTGCTCAACATCAGTATCCGTAATGGTCGTGCCAATCAGAACACGTTCAGTGGCTGATCACTCCTCGCTTCTTCCGCTGCTGTGACCTGTGTCCTCCCATCAGCCTCCACTTCTCCCCCTGGTTCCTCTGCAACCTCGTTTCATCATGGCGGCCCAAGCGATCCTCTATATATGCAGGTCAGGCTATTGCCCATTTAGAGCAAAGCCAAAGGCTTCATAATGTCTCACGAGGTCTGTCCCACATGGTCTGTCCCACACAGTTGCTCCCAATCATCCCCACAGTTGCCTCCTGGCCTCATCTCCAACCACTTTCCCTCACTTCACTCTGGTCACTGTAGCTCCTTTGTCTCCTCGAACACACCAGGCACGCTCCTACCTCAGAATCTTGGCTCCCACTGTTCCCTCTGACTGAGATGCTTATCCCCCAACATCAGCGTGGCTTCCTCCCTGAACTCCTTTAGGGTCTTTGCTCAAAGGGGGCTCCTCATTGAGCCTTCCCTTGATCAACCTCTAGTTCCCCGTCCCCTGCACATACCCCACCCCACTTGCCCACTTTACCTTCCTCCATAGTGCTTTCCAGCTTTGCACATACCACATAGTTTACTCTTCTGTGGTCTAGGCACGAGCTTCACGCCAGCAAGGATATTTGTCTGTTTTTGTCCATTGTTGTGTTCTTTGTACCCAGAACAGGGCTTGGCCCAAAGTAGGCACTAATATTAATTGAACAGATGCATGTATGCTGCATAGTACTCGCACATTTGCCTGCTGTTTGTGTGACCTAGTCCAGTGTAGTTTCACCATTTCCACATCTGGGGACTTCCATGTGCTTTTGGTCTCTTGTGACCTTGATGAAGTTGCTTGACTTCTCCAAGCCTTGATTTCCTCCTCTATGAATCAGGGGTGATAGTTCTAACCTACATTTTATAGGGCTGTTGTGAACGTTAAAATTTTTTAAAAATGTAAAGTGGGTAGAACCATGCCTCATTTATACTAAGTTCTCAATAATATGATTGGTATCTCTCCTTATCAATCATTCATCAGAAATGGACTTATGAGAGTACATGATCAAGTATAATCTAGAAAAACCTCACTTCTCATTTTTAAACCTAATAGTGTTAACTTTGTGTGATTATCTCCTTACAATAAAATATAAGACACTTTGTTCTTTTTTTTTGGAGCAGGCATTTAATATCTTTAGAAAAGGCATTTTAGTGCATCAGAGGTAAAGACTATCTTTGCATTTCCACTTTCTGACAGGTCCTGAAAATAGTACTCAATACATTTTGTTGAGTAAAGAAATGAAGAAAGGAATCTCAACGGGCACAAGCAAGTTCACGTTTATTGAAAAGTCACCATGTGCCAGGTACTGTAGGAGGCTCCAGGGATATAAAAAAGAACATTGGGGGGTTGGAGTTTATTTCAAGACCTTTACAGAGTAACCACTGACTTTGGGGGACGTATTTTACCTCAGAGGTCGTTCTCTGACTGAGGGAGGGGGAATTTGGATTTTTCACCTTGTGCAAAGTGAAAAAGAAAAACTCCAGAAAGACGTCTTTGCCATAATTTCTCTGAAGAGCTTTTCAAAGAAACCAGACATCAGTGGTTTGTCAAACAGACATCAAGGGCAAAGCAGCAGGCACATCAGTGTGGGAAATCCTATGGTGATTCAAGACCTCTATGAATTCCTGTGGTTCCCAGTAAGTCCCCATGTGTATGACTAACCACAAACAGTTCTATATTTGGAGCGAAATGAAAATCTGACGAGGAGCCATGCGGCTTGAGGCAGAGAAACATCTCTGACCTGAGTCCCAAGTCCTGGGATAGAGTCTGGCTCTGCATTCTGACCTTGAGCAAACAATCCTGAGCCTCTGTCCCTAACCATAAAACGATGGTTTTCAAAGTTAGCCTCCTTCCAATGAGGAAATGGTGAGAGATTCTCCACAGCCTGGAAACTACTGTGCCAGTGGGACTCTGGCTGTGATAGGTTTCAGAAGGCCCTTTGGACCATTCGTTCAACAACTTCATTGAACCTCTGAGTGCTGCCGCCATTGTGCACTCGCCGGGCCGTGGAGAACAACAGTCGCCTGCACACAGCTCGCTTCCAGGCAGTTTTTCAGCAAAAGCAAAAATATATTTGCAGGAAGATGATCATCGCAGGGATATCAGTAACAACAAAAACAAGCAAAGCTGGAAACAGCCCAAATATACTATAAAAGCAGGATGATTTCATCAATTAGGCATCCCAACATTTTGATTAGAAAGGATATCCAGGCCACCCACACCTACTCCCCGGCAAGGTCAGCCTGTCACCCTTGGAAGTGGTGGTTTGTCTGGGGGGAGGCTGGTGACCCTGCCCCAAGGGGGTGGCTGCCTGGAGGCTGGACAAAGGGGTGGGTAATGGTGACAGGTCACAAAGGACTGTGAAGGGTAAATGCAGTGGTGTAAGGAGGCCTGGACAGACCCCTGCAGGGAGATGGGCAGTTGCCTTCACTCCCTCTCTCTTGGAGACTCGAGTAGTGGCTGGTGGCGCTGTCTTGAATTCAGAGAACATGAGCAGTGAATGTTTGTTACCTTATTACACGGCCCGCAGCTACCGTTCAATGGGTGTGTTCAATACCTCCATGGGGGACCTGCAGCGACAACTGTACAAGGGAGGAGAGTATGACATTTTCAAGTATGCACCAATGTTTGAGAGTGACTTTATCCAGATTAGCAAGAAAGGAGAGATGATTGATGTCCACAACCGTGTCCGAATGGTGACGGTGGGCATCGCGTCCACCAGCCCCATCCTCCCGCTACCTGACGTCATGCTGCTGGCCCGACCAACTAAAGTCTGTGATGAGCATGGCAGACATGCCCGGCCCACCAAGGGGAGACGTCGCAAGCCTGCGAAGGTCCTAGAGCTCACCAGGCTGCTGCCCTTGAAGTTTGTCAAGATCTCCATCCACAATCGCGAGAAACAGCAGCTGCGCCTGAAGCTGGCTACCGGCCGTACTTTTTATCTGCAGCTCTGTCCCTCTTCAGATGCACGAGAAGACCTATTTTGCTATTGGGAAAAACTGGTCTATCTCCTGAGACCACCAGTGGAGAGTTGCAGCAGTACCCCAACACAACGAACTGGGGACACGATGACCACAGAGGATGACAAAAGCTTGGTGGTAAGCATCTACAGAGACTCAAGATAATGGGGCAGGGAGCTTTGGGAGAGTAGATCAAAGCTGGTCCTACAAAGGTTTGGGTGCTTGCTGAAGCTCACCTGGGAAAATGCATTCCATTTTCAAAAGACTCAGGGCCACCACAATGGCACTTACCACACTGGGGAGATTCCAAGTGTTTCTCCCAATTGTCTCCCACGGCCAAATTTCAGAGACACCTTAGGTATCAGCTGCTCTGGTCTCAGATCCAGGGTTGTAGTCCCTTCTACAGCATCCTGATTACCTAATCCCTTCCTGAACACTCACCCCAACCCAAGTGGTTTCTTCCTTCTTCTGTCTGCCTGTCACTACCATTGCTGATTAAAATCAGCATAACCCACCTGTGCATCTGCACACGCGCAATTTATTTTAGCAGGCACTGAAATGCAAACGTGTGAAGCCCCTGATCCCGCAATCCCACTTGTAAGAATCTGTTTTGCAGAGAAATAAACACAAGCGTGCAAAATAAAAGTGTATAAAGATTGGGAATTTTATCAGTGCTTTCCCTGGCATGGGCTTTGTTCAAGAAAACGGAATGACCATTTGACAGGGGTGCTGTAGATGGGACGTTGCATCCCATAGCACCATTAAGCTTAGATGTAAAGATTTCAGAGGTTCTTCTAATTAGAAGCTCTGACATTGCCCAGCTCCAGGATGAGAGAGAGCAGACTATGGTGGTCTCAGTTAGTCATCTCTGTCTCACCTGTTTCTCCTCCCCTTGGCACAGATGTCAGAACTCCAAGGAGAGGGAGATCAGAATAATGTGAGCCTTCACAAGCTTCGTGATGTCTCCAGAGCCACTTCTTCTGGTTATGCTGGGGGAGAGAGAATGCCTGGTTCAGCTTCCATCAGCAAAACTCCAGGGACTGCCCAAGGAGCAGCAAGGGGGCCAGCCACAAGCCTGGCAGTGGCAGGAACGGCTACAAGCCCTACAGCAAACGTGGCGGTAGCAGGAGCGGGAACAAAACCTACAGCAAACATGGCGGTAGCAGGAGCGGGAACAAACAGAGCAGCAAACGTGGCAGTAGCGGGAGCGGGAACAAACCGTGCAGCAAACATGGCGGTAGCAGGAGCGGGAACAAATAGAGCAGCAAACGTGGCAGTAGCGGGAGCGGGAACAAACCGTGCAGCAAACATGGTGGTAGCAGGAGCGGGAGCAAACCGTGCAGCAAACATGGCCGTAGCAGGAGCGGGAACAAGTCCTACAGCAAACGTGGCGGGAGCAGGAGCAGGAGCAAACCGTGCAGCAAACATTGCAGTAGCAGGAGCAGGAGCAAGTCCTACAGCAGGTGCTTTGAGCATAGCAGCAACCAAGAATGTGGGCGCAGGCCAGGCAGGCTCGGCCCTGGCTGGAGCCACCACCAAGGGTGCAGAAGAAAGTGGATCCGGCAAGGCCATGGCAGGTGCTGCCAACGTATCCTCAGAGAGTACGAATGTGATCTTGGTGGGTGCTGCCAGCTCATCCTCCTTAGGCAGTTCCATTGCCACAGCGGGGGCTGCCAGTGTCTCCCCAGCGAGCAGCATTGTGTTTGCAGGCACGGTGACGACCACAAGTCCTGCCACAGAAAGAGCTAAATGCCCAGTAACAGGACCCCTCGTCTCAACCCTGAAGAGTGAAGGCTACATGAGTGAACGGGACGGAAGCCAGAAGGTCTCCCAGCCCGCAGCTGAGGCTCAGAAGGAAAAAAAAGAAAAGAGAGAAAAGAAGGACAGAGGTCCCGCGAGGAAGAGCTCCCATCGCCACAGGACAGGAGGGGGCAAGTCGTCCCGGAAATCATCCTCCCGCAGGACATCATCTGGCCATCAAAGCACAAGAGATGACAAAAAAGGAAAGGGGCAGAGCAGCGTAAAGGGCAGACGCAGCTCTCACAAGAGTGCCAGCCACAGCGCCACCGCAAAGGAGGCGAGGACAGCTCACAAGCCGGGGAAGAGCAGATCTGGCAGCTCGGCTCATTTAAGTAAGCAATCCAGTATGATTGGCTCTTTCTTCAGGAGCTTCAGAGTCATTCGTGGGTCAAAAACGGAGGTCTCATCACACAGCAGAGAGATGGACTTCGTGGCTAAGAAGGTAGGGAAGCACAACATAGAGGCCAAGGTAGAGAAAGTCCCCGGTGGCCAGGATCTGCAGATCTGTGAGACTGTGACATCGGAGATGATGGAAACAATCTTCATAGAAAACAAACCCGTTTAAATAGGAGCCAGGGCAGGACACTGGAATGGAGACCCAGCCTCACAGAAGTATCCCTAGAGACAATGCCCGCTTACTTTAATAAAGGACACCATACAACTCCAAAAGAAATGCTTCTTTTGTTTGACTTTCTATGTCCCCTATCCTGGTGGTGACTTCACAGTGGCTTCTGTGATGTGGACTGTGCTCAAGCCTGAGACCCCAACTTCCAATCATACAGGACCCTACCTCCCACCCATGCCCAATATGAACATCCTGCCTGGCCTCAACCCTTGTCTGCCTTTGGTTTCCCCAAGACTAGGGCCCCCGGTCACGGACTATGGACTGGGAAGCACCACCACCACCAAGCCTCCATGCCCTCTTCCTCCTCTCCCCAGAGTTCCCTGAACATGGACGTTCAGTCCAGTTCATAGACTGAGTGAAGACAGGACTCGTGTTGTGTCGCCTCAGGGAATAGTTAGGGGTGCAGCAGCATTTGTAGGCAATCAGAATAGTGCAGTTTATTATCTAGGCCAGGAACTGGTAGCCTGAGGGCCAAATCTTGCTAATTGCCTGGTGTTGTAAATAAAGTTTTATTGGAACATAGCCATAGCCATTGCTTATATATTGTCTGCTGGCTGCTTTTGCATTGAAACAACAGATTTGAGTTTTTGCAACACAGACTGTATTGCCTGCAAAGTCTAATATATTTACTATCTACCACTTGCCAGAAAAGGCTTGCCCACCACAGATGTAATCTTAACAATTCTTCTTCCTCTTGGGTATATACTATGGAAAAACTCTCACATATGCTTCCTAGGCAACAACTAGGAGCTTTTTTTTTTATAATAAAGCAATCTGTTATAGCAAAACCCCAAATGTTCATCAAACAGAAAAATAAATTGTGCTATTTGCCTACGGTGCATAGAACACAACAGCAAAAGTATAAATAATAGCTATGCAAGGTAGCATGGGAGAATCTGACAATGGTGAAAAATAAAAGCAAGTCAGAAAAATACATATGATATAGTTCCTCTTGTAGAACAGTTCAGAAACAAGGTCAAACAATACGTTTGAGCAGGGAATGTGTAGAGAAAAGCAGGGAAATGATAAACACAGAATTCAGAAGAGTGGGTATCTGTCGGGTGAAAAGGGGGGAGGATGACCTGAGGGGCACACAAAGAGCTTCAACGGAGTGGGGATTGTTTTATTAAGCAAAAGAACACGTCCATGGTAATTTATTGTTGTATCTTTTTTTATATTTTAACGTCTCTGAAGTCAGAATGGTTTTAAATTGCTGTCAGCTGGCAGTTAGTGTCTTAGAAATAACAACCCATTTAGTTCACTTACGTTTTCCTCTGTGCAAGAGGTAGATGGCAATACCTAAGCCTGAAAGATACCTTCCAACAAGTGAAAAATAAAAATTCTAAGTAACATAAATCCTTTGAATCCATGCAAAAAGGAACATGGAAAAGGGTTAGATATCTTGTAGAAAAATCCAAAATGCAGGGTACTAAAGAACCCTGCCAACTGTGTAGGCATGTGGAAGGTAGCTCCAAAAAGAACACATTACATTAGAAATGAGAAAACGAACTTTGAAAATGCCTACTTTTAAAAAGAAATCACATTGTCTTTTCCATTTTAAAAAGTTATCGATATCTTTCATGAGTCTATGAAAATCATTTAAGTTGCTTTAACAATTGATGATAAAAGCTGGATTTGTGAAAAATGGTTCTGAGAACTATGTGCATTTGTGTTGAGCCTGAGTGGCCTGCCCAGCCTTGCAATTCTTCGCTCATTCTCCTCTGTGACGGTGGTGTCCAGTAGAACAGTAAAACTTAGGGCCTTTCTCCGGAGACTGGATGTGTGTGGCAGAAGTCGAGGAGGTGGGGAACAAGGTGCTCTGGGTGCTATGGCGGCTTAGGAATATCAGGGGGAAGCCCTTCTCCGTTGGTCTGATGAGTGGCTGGAAAATCCCACCTTGTGACTTCTGATATATAAAGACCAATAGATGCTGGGAATCAGGGTTCCTTACAGTTGCCTCTTGAAGGAGTGAAGGTAGAAGGTAGAAGCCCAGAAGGAGGCATGCTCTCAAAGACCTACGAGGGCCTTTGGGTAAGCCTGCTGGGCATACAAGAGGTTATGGGTCGAGGAGAGGGAGAGGGGAGCTCTTTCCAAAGCCATCAAACTGACACTGTGCCAGACTCTGATGTACTAGTTAACAAATGGTTCAATCTCATCATTCTGTAGATCACAGCTTCATCTTTTGTCCTCCTTTTAGCCTTATTTTATGCATTTCCGCTCCTGCATCCCAAAGTGCTTCTTTAACACAAACCTAATTCGTCCACCATGCGGGGCGTTTGCTGAGCAGACCCACAGTTTTACACAAAGGCCACTGAAGTGAAGTGGAGGTGGGGGTTTGCCCACCACAACAAGCTCTGCCGGGCACTTTCTCTGTATTTCCTTTTCTATCTTGACAGTTCATCAAGAGACACAAGCAGAAATACCTACGTATTTCAAAGCAACAGGCCTCTTCCTCTGGGGGGGAGATATCAATTTGGGCATCAAGTCAACACACCCCATCAGATAAAGGCCAATATTTTTGACAGCAATATGCATCATCATGGTAGCAACGCTGCTGCAGCAAGTGCAATGAGAAGACGGATGGCTGATTACCAACCCGTGTCCCACACCTACACACCAAAGATGAGAAGGGAATCTTTTGTCAATAGCAACATACGGTAATTCATGGAGGAGTTGTGATCAGGTGGAGTCTTTCAGACAAGGAAGATGTACTGTGGTGGGAAGAGGCAAAGTGCCTCAAACTACCGAAGGCAGTGTCAGGGCTGGCACAGCCAGAGGAGGAGAGGGATGCTGAGGAACGCTGCAGGGGACCCACCGGTCAGGCCAGCGTTGAGGGCTATGTCAAGGATGTTGACATCCAACTTTAGAGAAATGAAAAGCCACTGAAGTGTTTTAAATAGAGGAGTGACTTGATCAAAGCTGCACTTTGTAAAGGGCACTGTCTACTGAGAAGAGAAATATTTGGGGAGGCATTATTAATATGTGACCTTATGTCCCTTCCTATATTTTGCCACAGGATCCATAAAATGAGGAGATTCGAAGGCATGTTATGAAAGACAACTTTCCACTTGCAATATCCATGTGAAGTGGCCTAGGACTTGTGGCCTAGGCTATTGGGGGTGAGCGTGGACATTGTCTTGGCTTCAGAGAGCTCTCCCACCCAAGGTAACGCTCTTCTCAGAGGGCACAAGAACTGACATGGGGAGTGTCACGGTCTGGCCATCTTAGTCCGACCCAGACCAACTTTCAAGGGCCATTCAAGTTTGCGAATGCCCAGTGGGGCCTGGCTCACAGCTCGACTTCTCCCTCCGTGTACTCCTGCTTTCTCTTCTTCCCTTCCCTTCCAGGTGCTGGTCCTGAGGGCACTCCTTAATAAACATCCTTCTCACAGAACTCTATCTCAGAATCTTTTTTTCTTTTGTAGTGTGATTTACAATAGTCAAGATATGGAAGAAACACAAGTGCCCATCAATAGATGAGTGGGTAAAAAAACTGTGCTACTCATAGACAATGGAATATTGCTTGGCCATAAAAAAGAATCTAACCATTTGCAGTGGCATGGTTTGGACCTAGAAGATATGTTAAATGAAATAAGTCATCCAGAGAAAGACAAATACCATATGATTTCACTCATATGTGGAATCCAAAGAACAAAATGAGTGAGCAAATAAAACTGGAATAGACCCATGGATACAGAAAACATATTGATGGTTCCCAGAGAGGAGCAGGTTCAAGGGAACTGGGTGGAAAAGGTGAAGGGATTAAGAAGTACAAATTGGTAACTACAAAATAGTCACGGGGATGTAAAGTACAGCATAGGGAATATAGTCAAAAGTACTGTAATAACTATGTATGGTGTCAGGTAGGTACTTGAATTATTGGGGAAACACTTTGTAAAGCATTATCTAACCACTATGCTGTATACCTGAAACAAATACAAAATGATATTTTAAAAATAAAAAAGTAGCCCTGGCTGGGTGGCTCAGTTGGTTGGAGTGTTGTGCTGTTCGCCAAAAGGTTGAGGGTTTATACCTGGTTAGGGCATAAACCTAGGTTGTAGCTTTGATCCCCAATTGGGGTGTATATGGGAGGCAACCAATCAATGTTTCTCTCTCACAACAATGTCTCCCTTTCTCTCTCTAAAATGAATAAACATATCAGATGAAGATTAAAAAAAGTAAATAAGCAAAAAAATTATTTTAGGGGAACATAATCTGCAACACTGTGTTAGTGTAATGTGCCGTGGCTACCTCCTCTGATGCCACTAACATGAAAAGAGTTGGTGAAGGGCGTGTTCTCTCTCTCTCTCCCCCCTCCCTCTCCCTCCCTCTCTCTTCCTCTTCCTCCCTCTCTCTCATGCACCTTTCCCTCTAATTCCCCCTGGTGTGTATAATCCCCCCTTGCTTTTCTTTAAACAGTCTTTTTTTTAAGATTTTATTTATTTATTTTTAGAGAGGGAAGAGAGGGAGAAAGAGAGAGAGAGAGAGAGAGAGAGAGAGAGAGAGAGAGAAACATCAATGTTCGGTTGCTGGGGGCTGTGGCCTGCAATCCAGGCATGTGCCCTGACTGGGAGTCAAACCTGCGATGCTTTGGTTCGCAGCCCGTGCTCAATCCACTGAGCTACACCAGCCAGGGCTTCCCCCTTGCTTTCTTTCTCCTAAGCTCCAAGGACCCTTCTTTTGCCTCTATAACTTGTTTTCTGAGCCCATGAAGCCCAGGTGGCTCACTCTTCCTTTGCTCACTTCTACCTCTGTGTCTTTCTAAATAAACTTTTGCTTGTATTTGAAAGAGAGAGAGAAAGAAAAAGAGAGACAGAGTTGGTGATAACCAGGAAGGGTATAATGCACTATATACAGTTGTTAATTTGAACAATGTAAAAATAATGTACATTTTCTTATTGTAAAATTGTGTCTGCTTTAGAAAGTTTAGAAAATGTAGAT